TGCTGTCAGTCATCTCCCCAGTCAGTAAGAGACAACGGTGTATTGGAGTACCGTGTGAGCCTTGACATCCCCCTCGATCAATTTGCCCGTTTGCGGATCCATCGCGACCGCTCCAGAGCAGTAGACGACACCATTGGCGATGATGGCCTGCGAGTAGATGCCAGGGAGAGGCTTGGGGGCTTTTTCGGTGAGGACGGGGGTTTTGGTTGCCATATTGATGTTGACTGCCTCTGTAGAATATACACGCTCTCTATAATATAAGCTACAGGAAATAGAACTTCGTAGTGCGGGGTACCATTCCCGCCATATATATAACTTTACATACGAGGGCCTCCTTACGTTAAATCGGGCATACACGCGCATTTACAATGCATGGATACATGGACGCATGAATGCATCGTATTCTATTATCAATTTGCTTCCCCCACGCGCGGAAACAAGGCCGTGTGCCAATCGCATGGGGGAGAGTTGCATTGAACCCCTCACGGCACGACAGCCCATTGTAACTTGATCTTATGCTCGTACCGCTACCTTGCGTCGTCCGGCAAGGAGGTTGGTCCTTTTGATTAACATACCGTGTGTCATTCAGTGGTACATTACAGCATACGTGGTGGTCGCAATGATCAACCATTTCCTTGATATCAATCAAGAGGGTCAGGATCGTCACGGACAAGTAGATACGTTGCAAATAGTTGCACCCCCACGGCCTTGGATTCAAGACAAGATCTTACTCCGCAGGGACGGAATGTAACCGACCTGAGGGGAAGCTCCAAATACCAAACAGTAAATAAACCTTCAGCTCTAATGACTCACTATTCCCATCGTCGCTGCTTCAATTGATATCATCCATAACCTGCTCTATTTCGTTACTGTGTGAGTGCCAGAATCAAAATGTCCGTCTCAACCGACATCTCGCAACCGCCATATCCCTTGCATGACTCCGTCGTCGACAAGCTCGACCCAGAATATGTCGACTTCTACAACAAATACGTAATCAACCTTCAACAAGTCCACCTCCAACCGGTGGCTGCCTCGAGAACGAGCGGTGTTCTGATCCCCGGCGGTGGTCCTCTGCTCGACGTTGGAAAGACAGAGGATATCACCATCAAACGGAGAGCGACCGAAGGGCCTGATATTCTGCTTCGCAGCTTCATCCCCCCGGGGGAAAAGCCTGCAGATGGCTGGCCAGCAATGCTGTACTTTCACGGCGGGGGATGGGTGTTAGGAAATATCGACACCGAGAATCCAGTATGTACGAACCTCTGTGTTCGAGGGAACTGCGTGGTGGTCACAGTTGATTATAGGTTAGTCTTCGCCGACGAACACCCTGTCGGCATTCAGTCGCTGATGTTACAGATTGGCTCCTGAAAACCCGTGGCCGGCCGCCGTCCACGACTGCTGGGAAGCCCTCCTCTGGCTCATCTCCGACGGTGCCTCGGCGCTTCCCATCGACTTATCCAAGATGGCGACAGGAGGCTCGTCAGCCGGTGGAAATCTGGCTTCCATCATCACGCATAAAGCCCTCACCCTCTCGCCACCGGTGCGCTTTCGCGCTCAGCTGCTCTCCGTTCCCGTCATGGACAACACAGCGACCGTGGACAACAACGAGTCCTATCATCTGTACGAGCACACACCCGCCCTTCCCGCAGCTAAGATGATCTGGTATCGCAACCATTACCTCCCCAACATAGCAGATCGCACCAATCCCGAAGCCAGCCCTCTCTTTTATGATGATGACTGGTCGCAACTGCCGCCGGCCTTGATTATGGTGGGGGAACTGGACGTCTTGCGCACAGAGGGGGAGCAGTATGCGGCGAAGCTGAGGGAGGCGGGAGTGGAGGTGGATCTGCAGGTGATGAAGGGGATGCCGCATCCGTTTCTCGCCATGGATGCGGTTCTCAAGGAGGGCAAGCGATCTATCACCTTGATGTGCGATATGTTAAAGAGGGTTTTTTGAGAGTCATGAACCTTCGTCAGCCCCGATTATGATATCATATTCATGAGCAGAATGCTAGAACCTAGTGCCGCAATTGGCAAAGATAATGCAATAGTTGATCACACTAGGATGGGAAAGATCAGTAGGCGAGCTGCATGCTACCTAGATGACATTGCCAAGAGGCTGCTGGGTAGATATTAGGATCGAAAACGTTATGCTTCGCAAGCCTTAATGCGATCATCATTTCACATGTGAGGGAGGTAACCAGGAACACAAGTAAATTGGTATCATGCCACCGATGCAACGCAACGCTCTGGGCCTTGACGAGATCAGGACAGACGCTGGACCGTCCAGGATATTCCTTAAGGAGAGATGCTCTCCCCTTACCAGGGCCCGTATGGTAAGTTGCTCATGAGCGTGATGAGTTGAACTCATACGTTGGACTTGATCTTCTCCAGTAGCCTTCATGAGTACCATGACGGCTAAGTGAGCTCCGGAGTGGTTGACCCCTAAATTAAACAAACCCTGCACTGATCATGTATTCATTCTCGGCCTGTTTCCGTGGCTTGCTTGTCTCATGCAATCGAGCCTCAGTCATACCGTAACCCTGAGCGTGTTCTGAGAAGGGAAATGATCAGAGCACAGGCGAGCAAGAAACCGAAATCCGACTGTGTCGGAGCGATGCCTCAACTATCGAAAAAGGATTTATGGAAGAACCATTCTGGAAGTAGAATAGCTTCATAATCCAAATGGGACTCACGAGCACTGTCTACCCTTTGTTTCTTGTACCTAATAAGAAAGGTTCTGGTGAGAGAGGAAAATCCATGACCATTAGTATCAATGAATCCCAGTGGGACATAAGAAGTTATTCTGGTCCAGATATCTCGACAGAGACTTTAGAATCGTCTTTTCACTCTTCGATTTCTTTTCAGGCTCATTATTCCATCTTCTCCGGACAAGCACAGCTGGGACTTGCTTGCTGCACTGATGCCCAGTTCCTGAGTGTACTCCGTACCTGCGCCGTAATCCGTTGAGTACCTGAGCTATATCGTTAGCGCGGGCCTTAGCATGGATGGTTGATGAATAACTTGTTAAGTACAGAGAACATGCTTCATGTGCTTGTGATTCGATGCGATCTATCCACTCACAAGGCCTGAGCCCCAAACCGGCCCAGATTGGTGGAGATATCTCATCTTACTCGGGCGTCAGAGGCTAAGAGCAGCCTTTAGGTGGATGTAAMTCTGAGAATTACTTAGCCTCAGAAGCAGCCTCATAGTGAATTTTATTAGTTAATAACTACTTCCACTGGCTTGTGATTGTGCCTTGAATTTCCTTGAAAGTCCGACAATAATAATAATAATAATAATAATAATAATAATAATAATAGTGAAGTTGAATATGACCACAGGCTTTGTATAGACTAATGATCTCCTACCTAACGTAGTATCTAGCCCCTGCTCACAATAATGATATGATCAACAGGAACGACAAATCCCTCCGGATGATCCGGCACGTTCTCCGGCACTAGGTATTTTGTGTGTTATTCGCCCTAAGCACAAGTCATGACCAGAAATCTCGGGTAATTGACTTTTTTCATTTTGCTGGCCTTTAAAATTTGTTGTGACTTTTCCCGAAACAGAAAAGTGCATCTAAGGGAAAAACAAAGCCAAGACCTGAGTCAGGCCAGCGCTAAATCTTCGCTATATGATTGGTGTTCCTGAAGGTCTGGAGCCTGCCCAGCCAGGCAACAGTCCCCTCGCTAGGCTGGAGAAGGAAGGCACGACCATGCGACTCGACTTTGAGGCTGTCGCACTGGGGGCCAGACTAGGCTAGTTCCAGCAACACCCATGGAACCAAGCAATACCAGATCAAGTCCTCAGGGCATCTCGGACCCTTTCATTCGCTCTTCTTCTCCATCGCTTACGGAGGAGATATACACAGTACAGACTAGTCTAGCAGCCACCTTGGCAGTCAGCAATGTGAGGTACCACAGCATCGCTTATTCCCCTTTCGTGCCCCTCGCCATGTGGGGAGTAAAAGAAAAGAAAGGAGAAGAAAAGAAACAGGTGTTATTCGACTCATTCATGATTGAAAGCCTATCCGTTGTGTTGATGAATGGCTCTTCACTCATGTATCGCTTGGAGTCGGGCCATCACCATGGCTATCTTCCGGCCTCATCAGGGACTGTCTAGAGACTAAGTGGCCCTTCTTGATTTCATCTCCTTGACCCTGGTGGTAAAATTCATTTCATCCCAAGTTCCCAACTACGAACTAATGCATGCGTCGTCACTAATGCGGAACTAGGGAGCATACCATTGATCACTCATGAGTCGTGGTAGTGGAGGAATAATAGACCTTGCTCCATGCGGCTCTTTTGTCGGCTGTTCCCACTTGCCACATCGAATCAGCAGTCTCATCGCTGCCACCGACTCAACGGCAATATCGGCCGGGTCTATCTCGCAATTTCCGTTGCCACTCGGCTGTCCAATCTGGTGACGCTGTCCAGGCCGTAGCGCCCTTAGACCCCGGCAGATTCTCTATTACTAGTCAACTTCGACCTCTGCCTCTCCGCCCATTTGCTCAAACCTGAGAGATCCGAATTCGTTTGTCCGGCAGGCTGTGCCTGTTGGAACTCAATCAGGCAAGGTGCTGAATAGAGTTCATATTCTCACTGCGACCTTCCTGCTATCATCCCTGCAATTCTCCATTCGAGACTGCAACGGTGCCGGGGGGGAAGTCTGCGCACTATTTTAGGCCAACAATAATGGGATATTGGCTCGAAGACGGCCATCTGTAATCTCCGAGCTAGCAAGATGGTTGGTCGTCGACTTCTCCGTACGTAGTCATATATAGGTCTCCCTCATGTCCACCCTTCTCGTTGAAGATATCTCTCCTTCTCTTCGGTCTGGCCTTCCCACTTCGCGAGTCCTCGTCCATTGAGAGACCGTTCGACCTGTCAGCAGGCATTTGTCTGCGTCCTTTCGTTGACCCTCACCGTCTACACTCCTTTCTTGTGCTGTAGTTCGCTGGGATTTCCATCCCGCTGTCATTCTTTTTCGCCAACATGGTGTCCAGCAAGTTTTCTCTCGTCGCCACGGCTGTTGCAGCCCTAGCTCCCCTGGCCTCTGCTTTCGATGCCTCCTCTAGATCCAACCTTGCCATTTACTATGTACGTTTCGACCGTAGCATTCGCCTTGGTTTCAAGTTTCTGCATGCTGATCATTGTCCTGTAGGGTCAAGGTCCTAACCAGCTCCGTCTGAGGCACTTCTGTGACGAGACCTCCTTGGACATCATCAATCTTGGATTTATCAACTATTTCCCCGATATGAGCCCTGGAGGATGGCCGGGCTCCAACTTTGGCAACCAGTGCGACGGTTCCACCTACATTACTACTAATGGCGTTGTAACCAAGTTGCTGTCCGGCTGTCATCAGATCATGGAGGATATTCCCTACTGCCAGGCGGCTGGTAAGAAGGTCCTGCTGTCCATTGGTGGTGCCTATCCCGCAGACCAGAGCATCCTCTCCCAGGACACTGCCGTCGCCTTCGCAACTTTCCTGTGGGGAGCTTTTGGCCCAGTCGCTGAGGGTTGGGAGGGTCCTCGTCCCTTTGGGAATGTCGTTGTTGATGGCTTCGACTTTGACATCGAGCACAATGGCGGTTTTGGTATGTTTTCTGGACTCTCTGACGGCTGCGTGAATCCTTTTCGGTTTTGAACCTTGTCGCTGATGGAATATTCCCCAGGCTATGCCACTATGGTAAACACCTTCCGTCAGTATTTCAGCCAGGTGCCGGGCCGCAAATTCTATCTCTCGGCTGCTCCTCAGTGTGTCCTCCCCGATGCCCAGCTCGGTGATGCGATCCAGAACTCCGCCTTCGACTTCATCTGGATTCAATACTACAACACCGCTGCTTGCTCGGCCAAGAGCTTCGTCGACAAGACTCTCGGAACGTTCAACTTCGACGCCTGGGTGACCACCCTCCAGACGACTGCCAGCCGCAACGCCAAGCTCTATGTTGGTCTGCCGGCTGGTGAGGATGCTGCCAACGGGGGTTACTACCTTACTCCTGCGGAGGTGGAGTCCCTGGTTTCCACCTACATGGCCCGGTACCCCGAGGTCTTTGGAGGTATTATGCTTTGGGAGGCTACCTCATCCGAGAACAACGTGATCGATGGCTCCACCTATGCCGACCACATGAAGGATATCCTTTTGGACTGTGACCCGAGCCCTCCCGTAACCTCCTCCAGCGCTATCCCGTCGAGCACTCCGGTGACTTCGGCCACACCTTCGCCATCAAGCAGTGCCATTCCTTCAAGCACCCCAACTCCTTCCAGCACTCCTGCCGTCTCTGTGACCCCGACGCCTTCCAGCACCCCTGCCGTCTCTGTGACCCCGACGCCTTCCAGCACCCCCACTCCTTCTAGCACCCCTCTCATCCCTGGAACATCTGCTTCAAGCAGCCCTGTTTCCTCAAGCAGCCCCGTTGCCTCAAGTACTCCTGTTTCGTCCAGCACCCCGGTCATTCCCGGTACTTCAGCCTCTAGCAGCCCTGTTTCCTCAAGCACCCCCGCTGCCTCGAGTACTCC